TAAAATATGACAAAACCTTGTCAGACTCGTGCCCATGTAATTCTCTATACTGCACAATGCGGCCACCAAGAATCGCATCAAGTTCAACGGTATTAATAGCAATAATTCCAGCTTCATCCTCCGGCCTCGGAGGCTCCTCATCGAAAATCGGAGGATCGTCGTACAACGGTCCGTCATGTTTTTCTCCATCCAAATCGGGAATGACCACGCGAAACGGGCCCTCCAATTGACTATATTCTTGATCAAGTCCCCAATCGCGTCGGGCACGATATCCGCCAGCGAAGGCTGCCTCCTCGCGCCAGCCCATGTCCCTGCGTTGATCGTTGTCGTCCACGAAGCCGTTCGGAGGCGGCTGGGACCGCTGCCGGGGCGCCTCGACATGGTTGCGTCCCCCACAACCGCCTCTGTCTCCCCCGCGAAAGCCACGGCCCACAGCCCCATCGCGGTTCGCTTGCAATTCCGAAACAACCACGTTGTTTAGCGTCAAATGCAAATCCTCGATTCCCGTCGAAAGATCGGCAAACCAATCCGTGAAACGCACGTCCAACTCATGAAATCGGTAGTCAATTTGTTGAAACTGATCGTTGAAGGTTGCATCACATTGTTTGTTTGCGGTATCTTGTCGTCCCGGCGGCATCGCGATCGTACTGACTGCTGATACCAACTGATGTAGGGAAAGCGTACGAGTGGGAAGGATAAAACGAGTAAATGGGATACTATCTCGTAAAACACGCAAAATGAGATACTCGCTCGATAAAACTCACAATCAATTCATATTTTTATTCAAAATCAACTGCCAATAACAAAGAAAAAAGAGTCTTTAAATAAGACTCCTAAAGTCCTAAACCTAACTTGTTCACCAATCTACTAAATAATAATAATAATAATAATATTCATTAATCTATCCGCATCACCTACCATATTAATAAAAATTATATTAATATTATTTAAGTAATCAAAAAATATGATAAGTTTACTTGTTATATATAGAAAATTGGCTCCACTAGCCAACTGTTGATTTTGTAGCAAAACCGAATTAAACATATCAGTAGCTGACTATTTAGGCCTTCTTCATGAAGTCCTTAAATTAAAAATAATTTAAAAAGCCATAGTTGAAATAGGGCATCCTGCTTGGTGAGGAGCTAAGAAAGATGGATATCTAAATTCATATTGTTAGTTATGTAAAGTGATTCTTGTTATTGTAGTTTGTAGGCTAGGTTTAGGCTCAACTTAAGGTAAAGGCCGATCTATATATATATATATATATATATATATATATATATTTTTTTGTGAATATACAACACATATTTTTCTCACATTTTCAAATGGTATCGGAGCCGATTATTCTACAAGGGACCGTGCGATGACGTACTCGTTATCCGACCTAAGTGGGCTTGGGCTTCGTATATATGAAGGACTCACAAGTGAGGGAGCGTATTCGCATATAATACCACTTGTGAGTTGTCTCATATCAACTATACAGGGAACATATGCGTAACTTATAAGTCTAGTGGGCTACTCCTCCTACTACAAATTGGTTTTAGAATGGAACCTTACAATGGAACACCTAGACTTATCCTCTTATGGTGCGCGCTTCAAGTGCGTGAGACCGCACAAGTTTTCCCCAATTTTTTCATGGTATCAGAGTCGTCCTACGTGGGACCTGTGTTGATGTACTCATTATACCGCCTGTTTTGTGGGCTTGAGATTCGTATGAAAGACTCACAAGCGAGGGGGCGGATTAAAATATCACCCCAACCATCCCCTCCGACATCCCAGGACGAACGTTCGACAAAAATTTTAGGCCGAAAGTCGACGCGTTTGGCCCCACTCGCGCTTGATCTTTGGAAGTTATCATGTTTAACGACTGACGTACAAAATTAAAACTTTTATTACCTAAATATTTCAAAAGAGAAAAAATAAAGAAAATTGAAATAAAATGTACTTTTAAAAAAAATCAATACATCATATAAAAATATTTTTAATGCATAATTTATTTTATAGACTGTCAAAAAATTGAAAAAAAAAATATATATGAATTTTTCTATATTTTCACCTTTCAAGCTTAAATTTTTAAAAACATTTATCATTATATTTTAGCTTTTATCTTTTATTGTAAACAACATTTTTTTATCCAAGTGTTTAATTGGCATGCTAGAGTTTCATTTTGTACTTATTTCATTATTTAATATTTGTATTTTACTTATATATTTAAATTAGAGTTTCATTTTTTACTTATTTCATTATTTAATATTTGTATTTTACTTATATATTGAAATGAAATAATTTGCCCAAGTGGTTGAGACAGCTCTAGACCTTCACATAACAGCGTTAATAATACTAATACAATCTTGATTCAATTGTGGGGGAATCATTGACTAACTTAGCCCAACCAATAGAATGCATAAAGTATAAATAAAAAGCTGTTCAGTCCACGTGATCGTGGTCTTTTTAGTGAGGAACATACTCGGGAAGGAGCCTTACACTACCCGATCAATGTTATCTGCTCACACCGAGCACGTGTTAATATGTCCACAATTTATGTAAAATGCATACATTGTTGATGTATTTTTATGAACATATTAACATCTCCAAATTATGCATGCCACATAAACAATAGAAATATTAATTTGTGTCCATCATGGGTAGATGAGCATTACTCTACACTACTCATACATTAAAACATTTTATTAACAAAATTATAATATATTTACAATTATAACTTAAATTAAAATTAAAATTTATCCAATAACTATTGGGATTTAAAAAGTATCCACTAAAAAGCTATACACTAACCAACTGCAAGAAATATAAAAAATGTTTTGAATATTTAAAATTTATATTTGAATATTTAAATTTTTTATTAATTCTCAGTCAAACTTTCTCTAATAATATACTTTTAAACTAAATTGGGAGAAATCACGGATATCCTTCTTCTCTTTTGTCTTTAATCCCATAAATATTCTCATGTTGATCTATCGCTTTCTTGATTTTATTTTTTATTACTCTTTCTAAAATTATTTAAAAACTATGTTACCTAACATCATCTGCAACTGAAAAACTCATTTTCGAACTCGTTTAACAGTAAACATCACGTCAAAGAAAAATTAATTAATCATCAACTGAAAGACTCATTATCAAAGAAAAAGAATATGCCCGAAATATTATATTTTCCATCTATATTTTACATATTTATAATATTACCTACATATTTCACAAGTTGCAAAATCACTCTTATTGTTTCAAAGTTGATTAGAAAAATATGTAAGGATATTAATTATAAAATAATACTTTGTACATATGAAAAGCCATAAAAATAAATAGTCATTAAAAAAAATAAAAAATTACACTACACGGTCTTAAAGAATACGTAAATTATTCATACAATTCGCCTTTAGTCTCGAAGTCGGTGTATTCACAAATTATCAATTAGTGCACTTGGGAGTGTAGTGTAATCATCTTTACTTCACTTTTATGACTAATATGATTTTTTTTTTTTTTTGCCGGAACGATAGAGGTGTTATAAATCAAAGTGCACAATAGTGCAAAAAAGCAGCCCAAGGCTGAATAATACAACCAAGAACTAAAGTAAAAACTGAGAGGACGGATCGAAAGTCCGCCTAAAGCCTCGCTAGCCACGCTAGAAAAGAGAACTACTACACACAACTAAAAGACATCAACACAACTAAGATCGCTCCCCACAGGAGAATAGGATCGCCCCCCACGGGGGAATCAGCACAGAGGCCAACGGTCCAGACCAAAAATACAATACAGAACACTCAGGCAAAGAGCCCAGACCAAAAATACTGAACTAAACAGACTCAAGCAACATCAAAAACATTAAAACACACAAAAAGCCCTCCCTCTGCAGCAAATCCAACCAGACTAGCAGCCACAAAATCAACCCTAGGAACCTCGCCACTTGAGAAGAACGATCCCTCCACTGCAATTAAGCCTAGCTGGATCGCAACTCAACCACGAGACCCACCAAAGTCAAAGCACCCACACACCAGAGAACCAAGAAGCTCCCAACACGACCATCCAAGCCCCCTAACACCACTAGCGGGCTCAGCAGAACTGTGAACACCTCGAATACCAAGGGAACCGGGGAGAGAGCTGTCTCGATCCCGCAACCTCAACCCCACCATCCCGAAGGCCAAAGAACCTGGGCAACTCAAGAGCCCAACCCTCGAAACACCAAACACCGCCGGCCGCAGACAAAAGAAAACCGAGACAAGAGCGACTAGAAGGAGACTTACCCTCAATCGGGACCGGCAACAGCCAATCGACGACCAAAAGCACTCCTCCTTCACACATCAGACCGCCGGCGAAAAGGAACAAAGCAGCCGGACGGCTCTAACACCCCGCAGCAAACGGAGGCTCGCCGACAGAGTCGAGTTCGGAAAGAGGGAGAGGACCGCCTGAAACCCAAGACTCCACCTGAAACAATGAACCGCCGAGGCTGCCCCCGACCCAGACCCATAGCACAGCGGCCCAAGGTCACTTCATAGCAACGAAGAGATCAGCTATGGCGAACCCTAGTCCAATTTCCGAAGACGGGAAAGAAGAATTAGGGCCACAGGGACCACCGAAGCCAGAGGCGAGCTTGGTCGCGGCATCTGGGAGGGCCGGGCGGCGAGAGGGGGACTACCAGATAGGCCGGCAGCCGGGAGAGAGGCGGCGATAGATTAGAGATGCGACGGGAAGAAGAGAATTTGGGGGAGAAGGCGACGGGAGAAGTTAGATTTTTTTATGACTAATATGATAAGTTTATGCTTTTTATTTATATTGCTTTTTGTTACGAATTTATTCTAATTATAGTATTTCATTTTTTTTATATTGTATTTTGTAACTATATTCAAAATTCTTAGAATTAATTTAAATATTCGATATATTTTATTTTGTGCAAGAATAATTAAATGTAATATAAAAACAATTAATTAAAAAAAGCTATAGAAAAAGTAACATATAAAATAACATATAAATATGGCCCATATTTAATGAACAAAATTGGAGGTAGTAGATTGCACATCAAGGTTGCAGCGAGGATTGTAAATTGAAGGTAGTAGATTGCACATCAAGATTGCACATCATCGAGCGAGGGTTGCAGCGCCGCCGTGCCTTGCTCGCTCGGAGTGGGGCCGTCGTCCGGCCACTTTCTCCTCCTCCGGCTTGCCCTCTGCCGGAGTCTTGCGGGAGTTCCGACTAGGGCTTGTCGATCTCTCCCCAGCTCCGGAGATGGTCGTCGACCCGCCTCGTTTAACTTCAAGTATCGGGAGCCTCCCGGTTCGCTGGAGCTTTGGTCTCGGGCCTTCAGTTCTGCATCCATGGAGGGGCGTCCGCTCGACTGCCGATAGCCTGGGAGTCCGGGACGTTTTCTCCTTGGATCTCGTCTTTGATCCCTTCGACGTTTCGTGGTGGTTGCCTCCCTCCGGTGTTGAAGTCCTTCAAAGCTCAGATCTAGATTGAGGCTTGACTCCTTGTCAGATCCCTCTAGGCGGTTCGATTTTGACCGCAGTTTTTGGGTTTGGGGTCTAAATTTGTTGTTTGATTGGTTTATTTGCTGTGGAGTGTGTTTCGGTTGTAGGCTTGAGGGTGTGTTCGGTTGCCCGATATTTTAGATATTTATGAGGTGTGAGTTGTATTTTGTCTATGTTTTGGTATTTTAGTTTGTTTAGTGTATCTGTGTCTGTTTTTAGTGCAGCTATGTCTATTTTTTCCTGCTATATGGAGTCAGTATCTTTTTTTTGGAGTTCTGTATTATGGTTGTTCGCCTCATTGATGAAGTTTGTACCCACTTGTATATGATGACAATGAGTATTGGTTCAGTCTTTTGGTTTCAGTGTGTCATTTGAAACTTCAATTGTACTCTTTTGAGTTTTGAAATTATTAATATAATCGACGTTTGGAAAAAAAAATAAAAAATTACACATCAAAACTACTTTTGTGTCTGTTCACAATAAAAACGCAAAGATCTCTTTATTTTTGCGTTTGCGGAGATGCTCTAATAGTCCCCATAAAATCTCCATATTATTACGGTGTATATGTTTAGTATTTTCTATTAGTCATATATGAAAATAACATTATTAATTTCATAAATTATTGCAAATGTATATGACTATTAATTTTTGTAAAGAAATATTAAAATTTAATTTTTATAAAAATTACCTATGAAATTAGATACACTTATAACCTACTCAAGTTTCTAAAATATTTTCAAAATATTCAAACAAACACTTAAATTATGTAGAAAAGATAAATGTCTAAGAAATGTTTCAAAATCAATTCAAAATATTTTAGCATTTCAATAGAATGATAGATATTTGCATGCCGTGCTGAAAATTTAAAAAAAAAAAA